ATTATAACTACCCCCCACGGCTGAAAGGGCGAACATGTTTGGTGTGACGGGGATTCGAACCCGCGACCCGCAGATTGCGAGTCAAGTGCCCTAACCACCTGGCCATGCCGGGCCCACCAAGAAACATGATGATAGACAGTCTCCTTTTCTAATACTAGTTTCACGCCTTTTTCTAACCATAGGAAGAAACTTAGATCAAAATATGGCCTCCCTGTCAGTGCACCTAGGCCTTTCCTTCCTGCCATCTGTATAATGTGCAAGAAAAGTGACCGCTATGTTACTCTGTCCCATAAACGGCAGAAAGATCTATTAGTCCAGACAGAAATTGTAGATGCAGAAAAGTTAAAAAAACGCTGAAGAACTGAAAGAGAATCAGAGTATTGTCTCTCACATACAAGAACAGGATTGTATATATCAGTGGAAGTCTGGTACCACATGTTAAAGAGACTACACCAAAGTCATCAAATATGGGCTGTAGTAAACTAGTTAGTTATGGGAATGATGAACTAGAATACGAACTAAATTATTGAACCACAACCTGTATGCAGAACTCTGAATAATAGTACACTGCGGTAAAATTACTGTTAGTGTTACGACAACAGCCCTTAAAAAAAAAAAGTGGATTTCTTTATTAACAATTTTAGTGTCCTGAGAATCAACGTAAGAATTACATTGATCTTCCAGTTTTATCAAATTAATGCATAAAAGACTTAACTCTGAAGACATTACCTTATATTTTAAGTATTATATATGAAAGTATTATCGACGTATGTTATAAATTAAAAGGCTAAATATCATAATTAGTTTTATTCTTTATTTCGCATAAAAGTAAATTTGATAACTTGGGACATAAATTATAATCCATAACTAGACCATCAATATCGTTTACATAAAATGGAATTGTATTGTGGCCAAGACAAGTAGTTGTTTTAAAGGCATATTGAGATATAACCTTTACACAATGTTACAGAATGAGCCAAATTCCTTTGTAACCTATACATAAATACATAGGTTCTTTAAGCTCAAATCTATCAAATCAAGACACGAAAAAAATCTAAAGCATGAATTAAAACACAATTTTTAATTGATACAAACTACCAGACGTGTTTCGGCAGCCCCCGAAGCAGGCAACCAGTGGCTACCGATGTGTATTTTATTTCTTTAGAGGAGTCGATGCAAGGTTAAGCAAATTTTTCTTCATTTCTGGCATTATGGAAAATGTCCTGGGATGTTCCATTGTAATTGATACGCTCTTTTGGGGTCGTATTCATTATATAAGTAAGCTTCAGGCGCTGGAGGAATGGAGGTGAATGAAGCATATCTTAGTTTTTCAACTCCTCTCCGTAGGCTTGCACCCGCCACATTAATTTACCGGCACCATAATTAAAATCATGACAACATAATTATACAGAATCAAGCCAGAAATTTCCAAAAACTTGTTTTAACTCTTCGTTTCTACTTTTCTTGGGTGTTTTAGATTCATCTTTTATTGAATGTTAAAATGGATTATTATTGTGTCGTGAATGAGCAATATGGCTCAACAAACGCCAACATTCTAGAAAAGAAGGTTATTAAGAACATAATGAAGCCAATTCCGATGCGAGATCCAGCGTTGTGTATCATGTGTTGAAAGGTGAAACTCCAGTATACATTTCAGGCGATGAACTTACAATAAGAAAAACAACTAAAACCCGTTCTTAACTAGAACCAATCTTCTGTTTCGCTGTTAATAGAAGTGTAGATTTATTGTTGGTTTTATTTTGGCACAAATCTGCACAATGGGCTATCTGCGCTGTGTCTATTAGGAGAATTAACCTCTAATTCTGCGTTATAAGCTTTCAAGTTAACCACCGGAGGACAAAGGTGTAAGTCAAGATTTATTGTGTAATTAAAAAAAAAATATGTTGCACTATCTTAAATAATTTACATTACTCACTGTGGAAGTATTTAGTTATGATAGTGTTATAACTTCTATTAATTTCATGTTTGCTTATATTCCATTATTGTTTTGGTGCTTGTTATTTAACTCTGATTGCCATGCTTGGAGTCGTGTATTACATCTGTGGTATGTAACCATATCGTATGTTTTCTACCCTCTTGTATTAATATAGGAATATTTTTACATTTTATATTTGTGTATGTGTGTGCCGTTTCCACAAAACAGACGGGTCAAGAATGTCTTTAAGTTGCTGTTGCTCTAGCTACCTATTTCTCTGCGTCATTCATCTACAACCTTTTTTGTCTTCTCTTTAGGTAATGAACACTCTTATGTTTCATTGGGAATGACCAATTACTTTGATAGTGCTAGTAGCTGTGGGTAAGCCTGACGTTAAGTGAGTAACGAAACTTACTTCTTTGAAACAGGATATCTTGTTTATGACCTCGTGGAATAAACTAGAGATGATTTCA